CAGGGTCTGGGAGCCCTTCACATGTGCTGAGGGCAGGGAGGGCCTCTCCGCAGGGTCTGGGAGCTCTTCACAGGTGCTATCTGAGGGCAGGGAGGGCCTCTCCGCAGGGTCTGTGAGCACTTCACAGGTGGTGTCTAAGGGCAGGGAGGGCTTCTCTGTGGCCTGGACCCCGCATCTTCCCCACTCCCCACTGTACGTGGCAGCCCCACCCTTCTCTACATCCAGCCCTTTAAATGCTTTCTCTACCCCCGACCATAACCCCTCTCCCCCTATCACTACTGTTTCCTGAGGAGCCTCCAAGTTTGTCCCCTCTCTTCTTCCTCCTACATCCAGAAGCATTTTTTAAAAGAGGTTGATGGTGCCACCTCCCCACTTTGCCAGAAAGGATTGCCCGGGACAGCCTCACAATCCTGGCCCCACATGACTCTGAGTAGCACCCCTTTCACCTGCAGACATGTCCCCGTTTGGACGGTGAGCTGTGAGGTTGCACTCCTCTTAGGATGAAGACTGGACAGCCTCTACACCCGCCCCTTTGGCTCTGGCTGCCCAAGCCTGCTGTGCTGCCTCTGGTCCTGGCCACAGGAGCCTCTTTCAAGTCCTTGGGCGTGTCTGGACTTTCCCATGTCTGTGCTCTGGTCCATGCTATATTTTTGGCCTAGGGCTTCTTTCTTCCTCCTCCATCTCTTTAGTTCTTTTTCTTCCTATCTCTGTGCAAGGGTCATGCCCTTGGGCAACCCTCTCTTGACCTCTGTAGAGCCAGGTCCATGAGTGGCCGTACCCTTGAACATACTTGAGTACCCTGATGGGGTGGAGCCAAGTGCTGGTTCTCTGCCTTGGGCACCAGTGCTCTGTGCATGCTGGCTTCCTATCCATTGGCCTCATAGCAGCTGTGTCCTCCTCCCCTCGCCCTGAGGTCAGCAGCATTGACCCTGCTGCTCTGATGTGACAGTCCCGAGATGTAGCTCTGGCCTGGGCCTGGCAGGTGGACGTGCTGTCATCACTCTTGGGTTCTGCCAGGTGCAGATCAGACACTCCAGAGCAGTGGCCCTGTGTGTCCATGGGAGGACTGTGGGCAGTAGGGGGCCAGCTGCCCCTGCCCTCTGGTGTCTTGCCAGCAAACAGTGCATGGGGTCTAGCGTACCTTCACTCAAAACCTGAGTTTACATTTCCACTCAGACACCCTCTGAGTGAAGGCAGTGCCTCATTTCAGCACCAGATAAGGCCTCTGGGCTAGTATTCCCCTGGCCCAGCCAGCTGGGCATAGTGGTCAGGGATTCAAGTCTTAGGATGCAGACGTGGAAGACTGCCCATGAGGGATAGTCCCCAGGAAAAAAAACATGTGGCTAGAGGGGACTGGAAGGTTTCCTTCAGTCATTTCATCCTCGGTGCCCTTGTGGCCTGCCCTGGTTGTGGTCCTGCAGCTGCCCCGGGCAAGAGACCCTAGGGGGCCCCCTTTGGCTGTGGCCCTGGCCCCACTCCAGGAGGGAAGCCACACTGCCCAGGAGCCTGCAACTCGCTGTCTCTCCAGAGCCGTGCCAGGGTGCGGGGATGCCATGTTTACACACAAAGTAAAGAGAAAAGCTGTGTTAAGCAGGCTGCCTGTGCTGGGTGCATCTCACACATGCTTCTTGTGCCCACAGGACATCCCTGCCTGCGCCCATGTTCACCAGGAGCGACTTCAGCCTCTGGACGATCCTGAAGAAGTGTGTCGGCCTGGTGAGTGCAGGTGGAACTCCCTCCACACTGGCAGTAGGAGGACACGTGTATTTATACACAGCATGAAATTAGATGGCAGGGAGAGAAACACACTGGAGGGTGGTGTGCTGTGGGTCCAACACTCGCTGTCAGAGCCATCACGCGCTCGGTCGGCTGGCCACCTACCTCTCCTGTGCATGAAATGGTCCCTAGCCACACAGGGCAACAGGTGGGGAGTCTTTGTCAGGTGGCAGAAAAGCCAGCTGGGTAACGAGTATCCAGCAGCCATGGACTTGCCCTTTCATGATCTTTCCTACCTGTTAGGGCCCAGGAGGTGCCTCACCAGGCCCCTCTGCCCTTGCTCGTGGCCAGCATTGCAGGCGGAACTCACGTCAGACGTCTGCATGTGACATCTCAGCTTCCCAGCGTCTTCCCCACATTCTTCTCTTGCCACATTTACCTTTTGCTCTTTTCCATTTCAGTTCATTTTTCCCCAAAGGAAACTTCATTTTTTCCTCAGCTCTTTATCATAAAATAGTACAGAGTATTCCCATATGCTCCCCCCCCCCAGCTTCCCCAAATGTTGGGATGTTGAGGAATAACACAGGGCAGCGATCAAGACGCTGATCCAGGCTCAGCGCCTGTGGCTCAAGTGGCTAAGGCACCAGCCACGCACACCTAAGGTGGCGGGTTCGAATCCAGCCCGGGCCCGCCAAACAACAATGACGGCTGCAACCAAAAAATAGCCG